TAGCTACTGTTTTGATGGTTTTAGCCAATGTTTTGCTGATTTTAGCTAACTGCAGCTACTGTTTTGCTGATTTTAGCTACTGCTTAGTTAACCCTCCAAGCACCATAGGAGACCAAACTGTAAATTCTGCTATTTGCTGTTTTTGACTCTCGATATAATCTGCCAGTTTAAAGAGTGATTTGGTGAAACTTGTTCAGGATTTGTTTTTTAACGTAGTTTCTTTTTATTTCGTGACCTCTTCTATTGAAAGCTGTAAAGAACAGGAGCTCTGAACTAATCAATCGCTCTTTACACCAAGTAAGGTCCGAGTTGTTCCCATTGACTCCCATTATAAACACATTTCTGATTTTCTGTAATCCTGATGGATTATAAAGTTTTTATTATGAATTCCTGATGAATCTAAACCTCTACCTTGAAAATAAATGGAAAACAGGATTTAGGTATTTTGATTAGAATCATTATCAGTTATTGATCTAGTTAAGGCCGTAAAAAATATTCCACTTAAACTCATTTTTGGAAAATGTTCATATTTTGTTTTGCCAGTAAAATAATCTCAGGTTTCTATGACAAAATTAGTTTAAAAATGTAAAATACATGAAAATAAAAAATGATGTTAAGGTCTGAAGTTGGAATAATTTGATGTACGTTTAGTGTACTGTCATTTTAAAGGTTAGTTTTTGTTTTGGTTGTTTTAGCGTGTTTTGCTAATTGTGACTACGGCTTTAGTCGTTTCAGCTAATGTTTTGCTAATTTCAGCTTTTGGTATACGAATTTTAGATTTTCCATGTGTTTTGCTAACGGTAACAAAGGTTTTAATTTTACCTACTGTTTTGCTGATTTTAGCTACTACTTTGTAAATTTTTACTATTAGCATGTTTGGCTAATTTTAACTGTTAATTTTAGCATTAGCATGAAATCTGCCAGTTGTAGTCGATGTGTTGTTTATTGTTGTTTATTTTAGCTACTGTTTAGTTTTATTTTTAGCATGATTTGCCAATAATAAATGTTTTCTTGTTTCTATTAATTTTAGCTTTTGTTAGACTAATTTAATTTTTTTTTAACAAACTTTTTTAAATCTACAGTTTTGCTGCTTTATAGCTACGGCTTCGTTAATTTTTTTTAAAAATCTTGAATAATTGTGAAATATTTCACTCCTACAAACGAATATCAGGTTTAACTTTGGTCATTTTATTTTAGAGTTGTTTAACGTGATCATAAATGTTTTTATAGTGTTTCTTTTCTCGTCTGTCAAAAATAGATTTTGTTTTTCAGAAGCGTTTTATTTCTTTATCTGAGTCATAAACTTTAGTAAAAAGGAGGAGTAGAATTCAAACCGACGGTCGTTTTTCTCCTGAATAACCTCCAGGTTTCCGTCCTTCCAGCTCCGCAGGTGCGAGCGCCCGTCAGTCCCGCCCTCCAACATGGCGGATAAAAACACCAGGATCGCCATCGTCAACCACGACAAGTGCAAACCTAAAAAATGCCGTCAGGAGTGCAAGAAGAGCTGCCCGGTGGTCCGCATGGGTGAGTGTCCGGACCACGGCAGCTCCCCGGCAGCAGGAAGCGGTGTTCATGTCAAACTGTGTGTCTGCAGGTAAACTGTGCATCGAGGTGACGTCTCAGAGTAAGATCGTCTGGATCTCAGAGTCTCTGTGTATCGGCTGCGGCATCTGCATCAAGGTACCGCCAGCGGGACGGAACGTGGTTCTGGGTCCAGTCCGAGTCCCCTCACCAGGTCTTTCTCGTTGCAGAAATGTCCGTTTGGAGCGTTGTCCATCGTGAACCTTCCCAGCAACCTGGAGAAAGAAACGACCCACAGATATTGTGCCAACTCCTTCAAACTGCACAGGTACGCAGGTTTGAGTCCGGAGGCGGCTCCTTCAACCAAAGTATCCTTGGATTCCAAAAATAAAACTGGGGGCACAAACTAAACACGTCTGTATCGCTGAGAAATATTTTAATTAGACGCCACTAAAATATAAAAAAATATTTCTCAAGTAAACTTTAACTTTTTATTTACTTTTAATAAAAAATGTACTGATGTTTATCTCATTAGAAATGTTTTTTTACTAATTGTGCCCAATTTTTAGTTTATTGTATCTTCTGTTTTACTATTAGCTCATTTTAGCCAGTGTTCTACCATGGTAGCTAATGTTTAGCTAATGTTTAGCTTCTTATTCCCCTATTTTAAGCTAGTACTTTTGTTCATTTTAACTTTTTTGTTTATTAGTTTTAGCTTTAACGTGTTTTTTGCTGTTTGGCTGCTCTTACTTCGTATTTTTGCTCATTTTAATCTTATTTTCGTCTCGTTTTAATTTTAGCTGTTTGATTTTAGATTGTTTTAAACTAATTTCCGCAGCCTTTCAGCGCTCGCTGTTGAAATGTGATTTATTCATAGTTTTCTGTGTTTGTTTGTTTTCTCGCAGTGAATTTTGTAAAAAAATAAAATAAACCGTTCATAAAAAGTAAAACTGATTTTGCTGCTTATCGAAACAAATCGATGATCAGGAAATCGTTCCTTCAATAATAAAAATAAAAAGTCCCCTCTCAAATGTTCCAACATTTCCTTTACGCATCCTCTAATTGTTTGTGTCGGTTAATCCAGATTATTATTCTCATGTCCTTTGTGCTGCAGGCTGCCTATTCCCAGGCCCGGGGAGGTTCTGGGTCTGGTGGGGACCAACGGTATCGGGAAGTCCACGGCTCTGAAGATCCTGGCTGGAAAACAGAAACCCAACCTGGGGAAATACGACGTGAGTGTCGACCCGCCGGACCCGACCCTGCACGGGAGATTATAATCTGGGTGTAGCTGCTTTATGTTTTATCTGCTGGTTGTGTTTGAGTTTGATAAACTTCATGTTTCCAAGTCGGGAAGTAAAAAAAACTAAAATTAAAGGTTTGAATTCATGATGTTTGATACAAAACTTTAAAAATGGGACAATTATCAGAACAAATTAATCCTCAGTGACCTCAAATTAACATTTTGTTGTTTTTGAGCTTCATGTTCAAATCTGCCTTCAGTCGTATAAACGCTAATTATCCATCGACTCTCTGAACCTCGTTCTCGCAGTGAGCTCTTTCATGAGGCTCTGGGCCACCAATCCAAGTAGCAACAGAGCCGTAACAGCTGCAGCTCAGTAATGTGATGAACAGATGACGAGGAGCGACCGCCGCTCTCACGAGGTTGAACAACTAACGGGTTTATCATGGAGGGAATATTGACGAGGCACAACTTGTAGTTAATTTAGAACGTGGTTAACCAGAAAGAGGATCGCTTCAGAGCAGTCTTCATCATCGTCATCATCAATGCTCCACTTCAACCCAGCTGAGTTCTGCTCCACGCCTCCTTTGGTTCTGCTCCTGCTTCACCTCTGAAAGCTCTCGTCTTTGCAGAAAGTGGCCGGCGTCATCTGAGACTTGTTAATGTTCAGAGGGAGGAGAAAGACGGACTGGTCTTTTCGGCCATTTTGCAGAAGGAGCCACGTGAGAACAAACGTGTGAACGTCCTGCAGAGTTTAAATCCACCTTCAGTCCTCGTTGGCCGAGGAAGCTCCAACTGTTCAACCAAAGGGTTGAGCCAAGTACAACAGAAACCTGGAGGTGCCTGTCCTCTGGTTCTGGTCATCAGAACCTGTTTTGATCGTCTACGACTGAGATGAACCTTGTTTTTGTTGATTCATTGAATTTGTGTTGTAAACATCAGGCTGTAAACATCAGGCTGTAAACATCTGGCTGTAAACATCTGGCTCTGGTTTTGTTTGTGGTTATTTAAACTTGGTGTTTTTTCTGTCCCAGAATCCTCCCGACTGGCAGGAGATCCTGACCTACTTCAGAGGTTCTGAGCTGCAGAACTACTTCACCAAAATCCTGGAGGACGACCTGCGGGCCATCGTCAAGCCCCAGTACGTGGACCAGATCCCCAAAACCGTGAAGGTCTGTGACCTCAGCAGGACTAACATTCGGGGTCCGTTTGGGTCGGGGTTTGGTTTTAACTGCCGGTCTGTGCCTGCAGGGCTCGGTGGGGGCCATCCTGAGCAGGAAGGACGACATGGACACTCAGAACATCGTCTGCGATCAGCTCGGTACAAACATTTTAATCCGCTCGTCGTTTCCTCGTTAGTAAGTGTCTAACCTGCACGGTGTCTGCTCAGATCTGACTCACCTGCGGGAGAGGAACGTGGAGGATCTGTCCGGGGGGGAGCTGCAGAGGTTCGCCTGCGCCGTCGTCTGCATCCAGAAGGCCGACATGTGAGTGTTGCCCGTCGCTCTGACCTTTGACCCTTCGCCCGCTGACGCCCCGTTGTCTGCTGCAGTTTCATGTTCGACGAGCCGTCCAGCTACCTGGACGTCAAACAGCGTCTGAAGGCCGCCATCACCATCCGCTCGCTCATCACGCCGGACAGGTGGGGGGTCGCCCGTCGCCGTCGGTTCCTCTGGCCGCCGCGTGTTTTTCACGTGCGTTTGTTTCAGATACATCATCGTGGTGGAGCACGACCTGAGCGTGCTGGACTACCTGTCAGACTTCATCTGCTGCCTGTACGGAGTCCCGAGCGCCTACGGAGTCGTCACCATGCCCTTCAGCGTCCGAGAAGGTACGACTCAGACCTGGACTCCAAGGACGTCAAGATTTAATCTGATACTTAAAGTACAAAAAGGAACAGATGAACCCGTCCCGGAGTTTGAATAGTGAATGTTTGTAGGTTTGGAGAGGAGTGTTTTTCTGGACTGGAATACTTGAGTACTTTATAGACGCATAAAAACTAGAAAGCACAGTTTCCTCAAATGATGGAGGTGACGGTCTACGTATGTAAAACTTGTATTTAAATGTGGCGACCTAATGATCGATGGTCTGTTTTACGTCTAAATGTAGCTCGGTCCAAAATGGACGTCGGTCTCTGGCTCGTTTCACAACGATGCAGAGAAATATTTTACATCACTAAAACAAATTGTTCCACGGTGACATAAAAGACAACGATAACGGTGAAGTAGCTCGAATAACGTTTTGATTCATAGAGTTTTCCTTGTTTAGTCCGTCTCCGTGATGTTGGACTGTTTTATACGGCCGGCTGGAAACTGGAGTTTAATGGTGAAGACCTTCATCTGTCCGTCCGTGGACAGTTTCCTGTCTGAGCTCTAAATTATAATCCTTTAACACAGAAATGTCCAACCTCACAGCTGAACACCTCAAGGGTCAACGATGGTCCCTGTTCATTTCAAGGTCAAAGGTCACAGTCGACCCATGTGTTAAAACTTGTTTATCCTCCAGCTGAGTAACACAGAACTGTCCAACACTGTGTCCTCCCTGTCTGTCCATCCATCAACAGATGTTAAACAGTTGTATTTAATAATGAAATGAAATATTGTCGTACTCTGAACACGGCTGGCTTACATCATCAGATCTGGGTCTTATCTGACCCGATCCTGAGCCTCGGTCCAGTACCTCACCTTTCAGTTTGCTTCATCCTTTTTCTTCCGTTCCTTCAGGCATCAACATCTTCCTGGACGGTTACGTTCCCACAGAGAATCTCCGGTTCCGTGAAACCTCGCTGGTCTTTAAGGTGGCAGAAACGGCCAATGAGGAGGAGGTGAAGAGGCTCAGGCATTACCAGGTCTGCCTTTACTTCTTTTTACTGCCTGTGATGTGTCTTTAGTATCCCGGACGAGCCCCCAATCATTTTTATAACAAATGTTCTTGAAGCTCTCGGTTCCTCTTGTGGTTCCTTCTTCAGTACAGATTTTAAAAGTCTGATATGGACTCTGGTTTTCAGTACCCGGACATGGAGAAGACGATGGGCGAGTTTTCTCTGGGAATCAAAGGAGGAGAGTTCACGGACTCGGAGATCATGGTGATGCTGGGGGAGAACGGTGAGCTGCCGGCTCGGTTCTGAACCCTGAACTAACTCAAACCTCATGAAGTTTTAAAGCCTTTCCTGTTCACAGGGACGGGGAAGACCACCTTCATCAGAATGTTGGCCGGAGGGCTCAAACCCGACGGAGGAGGTGAGTTTTTCCTCACACAAACCGTAACTTCTACAGAACCAAACACCGACTCCGACCCGTCTTTCAGGTGAAGTTCCCATCCTGAACGTCAGCTACAAACCTCAGACCATCAGCCCCAAGTTTAAGGTGAAGGATCCGGCAGGTTGGGGTAAATCGAGGACGGGTTGAGGGTCTGGTTTAACGTTGGTGTGTCCGCCCACAGGGCAGCGTCCGAGCTCTGCTCCACGAGAAGATCCGGGACGCCTACACTCACCCCCAGTTCATCACCGACGTGATGAAGCCACTGCAGATCGAGAGCATCATCGACCAGGACGTAAGATTCAACCCGGTTCCGTCCTGAGGACCTGAACGTTACCGGAGCAAAAATGTTCGACATAAAACAAACGCTCCGGTTTAACCCGAATAATCCTTGCTGTTGCTAAGCAACCGGTGGTCAGGAAGTGAAACGGCGGTGGTTTCTACAGATCACGAAGTTTAGATAGAGATGAGTTTAAAGAAATGAGAATCCAGTTCGTCTCCTTTGAGTCAACACTTGATTAGTTTTTGTTTTTACATTCAGTGACGACATGTAGGTCGGACTTACAAAAATAATACAAATATTATGGTATGGCAAATAGTTTAGTATGTAGATAAAACACAAGTTAGAAATAAATAGAAATTCAAAAAATAAGAACCAAAGATTATTCTTTACCTTTCTAAGAAAAAAGATCAAGTTCAAGTCAGTTTTATTGTCGTTCACATCACGTGGTACATGAGGTGGAACGAAGTTATGTACTCAGGGTCCCAGTTACACCCAACAAAAGTATAAAAAGAAACGGTATACAGGGATCTAAGATATACGCTAAACACTAATAATGTAAAACAATACGGCGTAACAACAGCAGCCCGAACATGAGTCTGTGGTGAGCAGATGGTATCAGCAGGAGATCAGTAGCATAGATAATCAGCAGCACAAATAAATCACATCACCAATTAAAGTGGCATTACAGTGATTTTCCTGGTTAGGAATCTGAGTAACAGCTTCAGGGTAGAAGCTGTTACTCAGTCTCAAAGGAACACTGATACGTGTCAGTTTAAAAAGTTTGGTAGAAAACTATTGGGTTACGCCAAAATCTAAAATGGCCGCAGCCAAACTGGCCACCTTGATTTTTTTTTGAGGAAACTACATTTTCTACCCTTTTAAAAAATTACTGCTTAGAAGTCTAATTTCCTCAAATAATTAGGGTGGCTAAAGATTAATCTATAAGGTCCAAGGCCCCCATTGGCCACCCCCTGGCTCTGTCACTGAGCCTGGTCGTGGATAAAATGGCTCCCTCTGTCACTCTGCTCTACCTCAGACAAACAAAAAATAAAAGCTTCCCTCTCTTCTTCACAGTGTCACTCCTTCCCACTTGAACATCTGGCTCCAAAAACATTTAGGTTTACTTTATTCTCTTTTCAACTCCAGTCCAGAAAAACACTCATCTCAAAAACTACAAACATTCACAGTTCAAACAGCTCCGAGACGGGACGTGGACGTACCGCTTGTTTATATTCAGTTATCAACAGCCTGTTCTTGGTGCAGGAAAAAACATTTAAGTTACACTTTGATGGCATTCTAAAAATCATAATTGTCGTCCTTTACATGTTTGTTTAAAAGTTTTAAAAACGCGAACGTTAAACGTTTCCATTGTCACTTCCAGAAGTAAACATTTGTCATATTTGCTCAGATTATTTAAGAACACGTTGACCATCATCATGAGACGGATGTCGTGTGAATTTCATTTTATTTTTTAACTGGTTTTATGACACTGCAATATTCTGTGGTTGTATTGGTGACAATTTGGGGGGAAATGAAACATTTACACTCTTAAAGAACTAACTGGGCTGAAACGGTGTAAGAAACATTTAAAACAGAGCGGTCTTATGAAACTGGTCCACATGGTCGCCCTCCTCTGCTCCTCCAGGTCCAGAACCTGTCCGGTGGTGAGCTGCAGAGAGTCGCCCTCACTCTGTGTCTGGGGAAACCGGCCGACGTTTACCTGATCGACGAGCCGTCGGCGTACCTGGACTCTGAGCAGAGGTTGATGGCTGCCAGAGTCATCAAGAGGTGAGGCTCCTTCATCACCTGGGAGGCGGGCAATCATGTAATTACTTGTGCGTCTCAAGAACGACTGACCGCCACAGCTGTGAAACCTTAGCAAACGCAACACCTGATGTAACT